GATAGATTTTTGAACAGTAAAGGATTTAAGGGTTATGGTGAGTGGGTGGGTAAGTGAAACTGAGTCCACGAAAAATATCTTATTGAATGGCAGAGCAGGCTTGATGAGCCAGATGGCCACACCTGCTCTTATTTCTTATGTTCTTATGGACCAAAGGGTCTGTTTCTGTGCTGTATGACTCTATGACTCTATAAGTCATTCAACATTCGATGTATTTACAAATGTGATTAAAATCCAGCATAATAGGTGGAGGGACAGGTAGTGCTGAGGAAAAAGGTAGGCTGCAAAACGTCTTGAACAGGCTAGGAGAGTGGGCAAAAAGGTGGCAGATGGAATACAATGTGGGAAAGAGTCAGTCGATGCACTTTGACAGGAAGATTAGATGCATTGGCTATTTTCTAAATGGGAAAGGCTTCAGAAATCTGAAGCACAAAAGGGACTTAGGAGTCCTAATTCAGGATTCTTTTAAGGTTAACATGCAAGTTCAGTTGACAGTTAAGAAGGCAAATACAATGTCAGCATTCATTTCAAGAGGGCTAGAATACAAGAGCAGGAAGGTACTGCTGAGGCTGTATAGGATCTGGTCAGGACTACATTTGGAATATTATGAGCAGTTTTAGGCACTGTGTAAGGAAGGATTTGTTGGCCTAGGAGGGGTGTCCAAAGGAGATTCATAAGAACGATCCTGGGAATGAAGGGCTCATCATATGAGGAGCAGTTGAGGACTCTGGGTCTATACTCAATGGAGATTAGAAGGATGAGGGGTGGTTCTAACTGAAGCCTGAAGAATGTTTAGAGGCCTGGATAAAGTGGACGTGGAGAAAATGTTTCCACTAGTAGGACCCAAGAGCCCAGTCTCAGGGTGAAGGGATGACCCTTCAGAACTGAGATGAGGAGGAATTTCTTCAGCCAGAGAGTGGTGAATCTGTGGAACGCATTGCTGCTGAAGACTGTGGAGGTCAATTCATTGAGTGATAGATAGGTTCTGAATTAGTAAAGGGACCAAGAGTTATGGGAGAAAACAGGAGCATGTGCTGAGAAACATCCCAGCAATTATCGACTGGTGGAGCAGTCTCAATGTACCCAAACAGCCTAATTCTGCTCTTACATCTTATGGTCTATGGTCTTATGGTTACATGGAGATCAACTATGATTGTATGAAATTGTGGAGAAGGCTCGAGGGGCAGAATTGCCTACTCCTTGACCAACTTTAAGTGACAGTGATGCTAAACCCAAAAATCCACAGATCCAACAAAGGAGATTTAGGGAAAAGACAAGAAATAGTCTGATGAATTAGCATTCCAAACTTAGATAAGCAGTGTGTATCTGGGAGACAGTGATTCATATATTTAGACTGACGTGGAGGCTGTGTTATGCAATTGGAGCAGGCTGGAAGAGGAGCTTTGTCTTCTGGATATTTATCCTATCTCATATGCCTTGTCATGAAGGCATCAGTAATAGTTTGGAGCTCAGCCTCTGAGTGTGCATGTACATAAAGATGCAGATGACAGCTTTAATGACAGTGATTGAGGTAGTTTCTGGGCTGGAGGTGATCCATGTTGAATAGTTCCTCCACCCATCCTGTGGATTAGCTTCACTCTAGTGGGAAGCTTTGAGGATCTTGGGGTGGAGAAGGGAAAGTATTGATGAAAGAAAGATAGGGGTGAGCAATGCTGTTATGGCACAGCTTGCTTGACTGCAGTTTGCACACATATTGAATTTGTGGTAGGTTTGACTTAGTCAACTGGGATTGACTGTAGAGTGTGCTTCTGTAACACACACACACACAGCCTGAGTGAAAAATGTTCCAGTGCATTGACTGCAGAAAGACCTTTAACTGCTTACTCAGTCTGTAAAGCTATCACACTGGAGGGAGAATTGTTTGAATGAGACTCGTCAAATCTGGTGGATAACGTTGAAATCAGGATCATGAAGAATCTGTGAAAAAAAACAGGCTGTTGGGGGAGATTACAATCCACTACCCAACCCTGTCCACTCTAGAAACTCAACGCACTTGTTGCAGGGAGCGTCCTTCACCTGGTCTATAGGTGGAAGGGAATTCACAAAGTATTTCCACTGTTGTTATACCAACAAGCTCACTCCACACCAGCATTCTCCTGCTTTTAATGTGGAAAGGATTCAGTAAGTGATCCAACTGCAACACCAGAGGGGTTGTACCGGAGAGCCCATTCCACTATTCAAAGTGTGGGAAAGAATCATGCACTCCTCCAGCCAGCTGACACACTAGCAACATTAAACAGTCAAAAGGCCATTCATCCACTCTGAATAGGGAAAGGGATTTAGGCAGTCGTCAGTCTACTGGGGCATTGTAATTTTCACACAAATGCAAGACTTTTTAAAGCTTTTGTAATGGAAGTGGTTTAAAACCCAACTGTATTCCAATGCATTCATGCTTTGAAAAGATTATCGAGTCATAGAGCTGTACAGTATGGAAACAGACCCTTTGGTCCAACTCATCCATGCAGACCAGATTAAATTAATCTAGTCCCATTTGTCAGCATTTGGCCCATATCCCTCGAAACCCTTCCTATTCATGTACCCATCCAGATGCTTTTTAAATGTTGTAGATGTACCAACCTCCACCACTTCCTCTGGCAGCTCATTCTATGCATGCACCACCTTCTGCGTGAAAAAGTTGTCCCTTGGATCCCTTTTAAATCTTTCCCCTCTCACCTTAAACCTCTGCCCTCTAGTTTTGGACGCCCCGACCCTGTGAAAAAGACCTTATCTATTCAACCTATCCATGCTCCTCATGATTTTATAAACCTCTATAAGGTCATTCCTTAGCCTCTGATGATCCAAGGAAAACAGCACTAGCCTATGCTGTCTCTCCCTACAGCTCAAACCCTCCAACCCTGGCAACATCCTTGTAAATCCTTTCTGAACCCTTTCAAGTATCACAACATCCTTCCTATAGCAGGGAGATCAGAATTGCACACAGTATTCCAAAAGTGGCCTAAGCAATGCCCTGTACAACTGCAACATGACCTCCCACCTTCGATACTCAATGCACTGACCAATAAAGGCAAGCGTACTGAATGCCTTCTTCACTATCCTGTCAACCTGGGACTCTATTTTCAAGGAACTATGAACCTGCACTCCAACGTTTCTCTGTTCAGCATCACTCCACAGGACCTTACCATTAAGTGTATAAGTCCTGCCCTGATTTGCCTTTCCAAAATGCAGCACCTCACATTTATCTCGATTAAACTCCATCTGCCAGTCCTTGGACCATTGGCCCATCTGATCAAGATTCCATTGTACTCTGACGTAACCTTCTTCGCTGTCCATTACATCTCCAATTTTGGTGTCATCTGCAAACTTACTAATCACACCTCTTATGTTCACATCCAAATCATTTATATAAATGACAAAAAGCAGTGGACCTAGCTCTGATCCTTGTGGCACATCGCTGGTCACAAGCTTCCAGTCTGAAAAACAACCCTCCACCACCACCCTCTGTCTTCTACCATTGAGCCACTTCTATATCCAAATGGCTAGTCCTTCTTGTATTCCATGTGATCTAACCCTGCTAATCAGTCTACCATGGGAAACTTTGTCGAATGCCTTACTGAAGTCCATATACATCATGTCCACTGCTCTGCCCTCATCGATCCTCTTCGTTACTTATTCAAAAAATTCAATCAAGTTAGCGAGACATGATTTCTGATGCACAAAGCCTTGTTGACTATCCCTAATCAGTCAGACATAATCAAACTATGACAGAACTTCACAATACATTTGAGGTTGAGAATGTATTTATAAGACTAGAGTACCTAAATAAAGGTAATTACAATGTTGTTAGGGTTGTGTTGGCTGAACGAAGTTGGAAAATAGATTAAAATCTAATACGGGGATTAACAGCAACAGGCATTTAAGGAAATATTTCTATCTCTGAAAAAAATGGATATTCCACTAAAAAAGCAAAGACCCTGTACAATAAATGGTATGCCATTCCTGCCCAACTAAGTGAGTTAAAGGTTTATCAAAAACGTCTACGATACTACAAAGAGCTTTCAGCAAATTTTAGAAAGCAATAAAGGACTAAAAAGAAACTAAGAATTAAGAAATCAAAATATCTGTGAAATCATACTAGAAATATAAAAGCAGATGGTCCCTAAGATAGTGAGACTGGAGAATTAATAAAAGCAAAGAAGAAAATGGCGATTGAACTGAACAGGTATTTTGTGCCAGACTTCAGTGGAGAATAAACAAAAGAAAATACTTCAAAATCAAAATAATTAAAATAATGGGGAAAAAAAATAACAATTGTAATCACCAGGAATAGGTACTGGGAAAAGTACTAGAACTGAAGATTTTCAAATTCTCTGATATTACAGGATAGGAATTCAGTACAGATAAATCTAATTGATTTAAACATAATTTCCCCTGTCGAACTGCAAATACCTGCCCACCACACAGTCTCTCCAATCTACTGGTTGTAACCCTAATCAATTCCAGTATCCTTCTCCTGGATTTCAGGCTAATTTTCCTCTCCAGAAGGACGTGACTCTCGGGTTCAGTTTCACAGTTACCTATTGTCCCCTGCAATATAACACCCTGGTGTGCAAATCTTTATCAACAACGAAAACAAAAACAGAAATTTCTGGAAAAACTCTACGTTCTCTCCAAAGATGCTGCCAGGCCTGCTGAGTTTTTCCAACAATTTCTGTTTTTGCTTTTGTTTCTGATTTCCAGCACCCACTGTTCTTTGTTTTCTTTTGCAGATCTTTATACCAGAAATTGTAACTCTAATTGGCTAAAGGGGTCTCACAATCCAATCCAATCCAGTGACTACCCACACGTACACAGAGGAAGCTGAAGAAACTCAGCAGCTCTAGTTGCATCTGTTGAGAGAGAAACGTTTCAAACCCAATGTGAGTCTTCTTCAGCACCACTTACAGGCACGTTATTCCATGCTGCGGTCATTATGCACACCACCCTCTACCATTCCCAACATCTTGTCATCTCAAATCCAGGCTTTTGGAGCTTGGCTCGGATCATGGTGGCCTGAACTCCCACAAGGCGCAGCGCGGTGGAAATCGCTCTGTGCGAGGCACGGGCTATGGATACCGACTGCGCATGTGAAGACATGGGGAGCAACTGCGCATGTGTAGAGAATGTAAGGCAACGTTACACCCTTTTGTCATCTCGCAGTTTGTATTTGACCAATAGAGAAGGTTGGATGACCGGAAGGAGGCTGGTCCTCCAGCCAGTAAGAGCTTCCCTATTGTCTGAATGCGGAAGTTGGACAATGAGCTCCTGAAGCTGCCAGTTCCTGCCCAGCAAAACTGCTGCTGTGTCTCTGAATGAAGATTGAGCTTCACCCCTGACTGCAACTTCCTCCTCAGTCCAATATCTGTGAGCGAAAAACTCTCTTTTTTCCACGTTTCTTTTTATTTTCTTATTCTAGGGTTAATTTGTTGATTGCAGGAACTGAGAGGAAAGGAAGTAAATCCAGCAAGGGGCAGAGTCTGGAAAGGTTGGCCAAGGTCTTCTCTCTCTCTTAAAGACATTGACATCCATTGCTCCCATTGTTTGAGACGTTTCTTTTTCTAGCCAAAAGTGTGGTTTTTTTCCTAATGTTCATAATTCAAGGATGTTTTCCCCAGGAGTTGGAGAACATTTAAGGGGCCACTGAATGAATTTGGGACAGAAATTTGTCTAGTGTTATTATATGGTTTATTTTAAAATTAGTACTTATGGTTCAACAATAACTTCTAGTATTATGATATGGTACCTTAGCTGTGTTATTTATTTCCACTCGTCCAGTTCTAGAGCAGGGAAACAGACGCTTTGCTTCAACTCGTCTATGCTGACCAGATATCCTAAAACTGATCTAGTCCCATTTGCCAACATTTGGCCCATGTTCCTCTAAACCCTTTCTATTCGTGTACCCATCCAGATGTCTTTTAAATGTTGAAATTTACCGGTCTCCACCAACTCCTCTGGCAGCTCATTCCATACACACACCACCCTCTGCATGAAAAAGTTGTCCCTTGGATCCCTTTTAAATTTTTAACCTCTCACCATAAACTTACACTCTCTAGTTTTGGAATCCCCTACCCTGGGAAAAAGACCTTGCCTATTTATCCTATCCATGCCCTTCATGATTTTTTAAACCTCTAAGGTTTGAAAGTATAAATCTGTCTAAAATTTTTATAAACCTGTTTAAGGTACCTCAGCCTCTAACAGGAAGGAAAAATGTTTCAGGGAATAAATCCCCAGCCTATTCCAACTCTCTGATCCCGGCAACATCCTGGTAAACCTTCCAATAGCAGGGACACTAGAATTAGAGTCATACTCAACAGAAGCAGACTTTCTGCCCAACTTGTCTGCACTGACCAGATATCCCAATCTGACTTCGCCTGATTTGTCAGCATTTGGTCCCTATCCCTCTAAACCTTTCCTGTTCATATAACCTATCAGATGCCTTTTAAATGTTGTAATTGTACCTGCCTCCACCACTTCCTCTGGCAGCTTGTTCCATACACACATCACCAATGTTTAAGTTATCCATGTGATATAAGAGATTAGAAGTGGATAACCTAGTATAGAATAATCTGATAGATATTTATGATGACACATACTAAAATACATAAATACTACATTCATATGCCTTGCTTGAAATGATCTGCATTAAGCTGGAACTTGTGATCTTTGTACCCTTAGGCCCCATGCTATCATACAATGATGATATCACCAGCAGGATTTCTAAAGGTACACTGAAAAATTGACAGTGATGATATGCAGTATTCCAGAAGTGGCCTCACCAATATCCTGTATAGCCACAACATGACCTCTCAACTCCTATACTCAACGTTCTGACCAATGAAGGTAAGCATACCAAATGCTGCCTTCACCATCCTGTCTACCTGTAATGCCACTTTCAAGGAACTTTTTACCTGCACCCCTAGATCTGTGTTTGACAACACCCCTCAGGGCCCAACCATTAACTATGTAAGTCCTGCCTTGGTTTGCCTTGCCAAAATGCAATACCTCACATCTATCTAAATTAAACTCCATCAGCCACTTCTGGACCCATTGGCCCATCTGATCAAGGTCCCGTTGTACTCTCAGATAACCCTTTTCGCTGTCCACTACACCACCAATTTTGGTGTCGTCTGCAAACTTACGAACCATACCTCCTATATTCACATCCAAATTATTTATATAAATAATGAAAAGCAGTGGACCCAGCACTTATTTTTGTGGCACACCGCTAGTCACAGGTCTCTAGTTCAAAAAAACAACCCTGCGCCACCACTCTCTGCCTCCTACCATCAAGCCAATTTTGTATCCAATTGGCTAGCTTCCCCGGATCTAACCTTGCTAACCATTCTACCATGAGGAACCTTGTCAGATGTCTTACTGGAGTCCATATAGACAAAGTCCACCACTTTGCCTTCATTTATCTTTTTTGTCACTTCTTCAAAACACTCTGTCAAGTTTGTGAGAGACAATTTCCTACGCAGAAAGCCATGTTGACTGTCCCTAATCAGTCCTTGCCTTTCCAAATACCTGTAAATCCTGTCCCTCAGAGTCCCCTACTACTGATGCCAGCCTCACTGGTCTATAGTTCCCTGGCTTTTCCTTCCTTAAATAATGACACCACATGAGCCACCCTCCATGCTATGACACCTCACCCATCGCTGCTGATGGTAAAAATACCTCAGCAAGGGGCCTGCAATCTCTTCCCTAGCTTTCCACATAGTTCTGGGATACACCTGATCAGGTCCCGGGCATTTATCTACCATTTTGCATTTTAATTACCATTTTTGCACCTCCTCTTCTGTAATATAGACATCTTTTAAGATATCATTATTTATTTCACAAAGTTTACTAGCTTACAAATCCTTTCCTCACTGTAAATACTGATAAAAAATAGTCAAAGAACAAAAAACAGTACAGTGCAGGAACAGGCCCTTTGGCCCTCCAAGCCTGCGCCGACACATTTTGCCCTTTCATACTAAAACTGCCTTCACTCACAGGATCTGTGTTCCCTCTATTCCCTTCCTATTCATGTATTTGTCCAGGTGTTTCTTGAATGCTGCTATTGTGTCTGCTTCCACCACCACCTTTGGCAGAATGTTCCAGGTGTTTACCACCCTTTGTGTGAAAACTTGCCTCACACGTCTCTTTTAAACTCACCCCCTGCACCTTGTACCTGTGTCCCTTAGTAAGTGGCCCCTCCACCCTGGGAAAAAGCCTCATATTTTCCACTCTATCCATGCCATTGACAATCTTATAAACTTCTATTAGGATGCCCCTCAACCTCCTGCGTTCCAGTGAAAACAAACCCAGTCTATCCAACCTTTCTCGATAGCTAAAATCCCCCATACCGGACAAAATCCTGGTAAACCTTTTCCGTACCCTCTCCAAAGTATCTACATCCTTCTGGTAGTGTGGTGACCAGAACTGCGTGCAATATTCCACGTGTGGCCTAACTAAAGTTCTATAAAGCTGCAGCATAACTTGCCTATTCTGATACTCAGTGCCCCTTCCAGTGAAGGCAAGCATGCCACAAGCCATTTTTACTGCCTTATCTACTTGCACTGCCACCTTCTGTGGACCGGCACACCCAGATCTCTCTGCATATTGATACTTCTAAGGGTTCTACCATTCAATGTCTACTTTCCGCCTGTACTTGACCTTCCAAAATGCATCACCTCACATTCGTTTAGTATCTCAGCCATCTCCTGTCGTTCTGCACGTAGATGGCCTTCTCGATCTTTAAGGGGCCCTATTTTCTCCCTAATTACTCTTTTTGCCGTCCTAACCCTATTTGATGAAACTATCTCACGTACCCCGTTTGCCGCCCTCATTTCCCTCTTAAGTATACTCCTACTGTCCTTATATACTTCTAGGGAATCACTCTATCCCAGCTGTCTATACCTGACACATGCCTCCTCCTTTCTCTTGACCAGAATGTCAAATTTTCTAGTCATCCAGCATTCCCTACACCTATCAGCGTTGTCCTTTGCACTAACAGGAACATAATGCTCTGAAGGCCTTCCACTTTCCAACCATCCCTTTACCTGTTCATAGTCAGCTTTTGAAAGTCCCTGCCTAATATCGTCAAAATTGGCCTTCCTCCTATTTAGGACCTTAACTTTTAGATCAGGTCTATCCTTCTACATAACCATTTTAAAACTAATAGAATTATGGTCACTTGACACAGGGTGCCCCTTCCCCCCCGAGTCACTTCAGTCACTCGCCCTGCCTTATTTCCCAAGAGTAGATCAAGTTTTGCTCTTTCTCTAATAGGCACATTCACATATTGTATAAGGAAATTTTCTTGTACACACTTAACTTCCGCTTGGGATGTCATGTCGCAGCTGTACAGGACATTGTTGAGGTCAATTTTGGAATAGGTTGAATAAGCTGGGGCTTTTTTTTCCCTGGAGCGTTCAGAGGACGAAGATTGGGATGGTCAGTGATCACGAGTTAGACCAAAGGGTCTGTTTCCGTACTGTATAAATCGATAAGCCCTTAACACTGTGGCAGTCCCGGTCTACGTTTGGAAAGTTAAAACCCCCTACCATAACAACCCTATTATTCCTACAGATATCTCCTTACATATTTGCTTCTTAATTTCCTGCTGACTATTGGGAGGCCTGTAGAACAATACCATCGATTACCCCTTTCTTATTTCTCGGTTCCACCCAAATAATGTCAGTGGATGTTCTCCCAGGAAAATTGGACAACTGTAAAGTTATCCTTAATTAAAAACGCCACTCCCCCTCCACTCTTGACCCCCTTTCTCAGCTTCCTATAGCATCGAGACCCCAGAACATCAAACTGCCAGTCCCTCCTTGAGTCATGTTTCTATGATATTCCAGTCCCATGTTCCCAACCATGCCCTAAGTTCATCTGGCTTACCTGTCAGGCCTCTTGCATCGAAATCAATGCAGTTTGATTTGTCAGTCTTAGGATTAGGCTTTACTGGAATTAGAAATAGATTTTATTGTCATGTGTACTCAAGTACAGGGACACAGGAGTATAGTGAAAGTATACAAAGTCATCATTCTTGGTGCCATCTGAGGTACAAAGGTACCTTAGTACAAAATCTTAGGTACAAAGTTAAAAGTTCAGCATTACAGTCCTCCTTAAGTGCTTAGCCTGCTGGGCTCATGCTGTTCTTACATCATCAACACAGTTACTTCATTTTCAGGCTTCTGCCACGCTTTTGCCTGCCTTGATTATTTAACCTGCTCCTCTTATTTACTGTACCAGCTTCATACTTATCACTTTTCCCACTATCTCTTTGGGTCCCCCACCCACAAGTTTAAAGCTTCCCGAGTATCACCAGCAAATCTCCCCACCAGGATATTGGTCTTGTTCCAACTCGGGGCAACCCATCCTTCTTATATTTTCTACCCCAGAAGAGATGTCAGTGGTTCAGAACTGAATTCTCGCCCTTTGTACCAACTCCTTGCCACACATTCACCAGCCCTGTCCATATGGGACCAAAGGAATCCATTTGGCAACTCAGGTCCATGCTGATTCTGTATTGAGCAAACCAGTCATTCCCATTCTCCCTCATATCCCCAGATACTTATTTCCCTCAACTGCCAATCTAATTTCCATTTGGAACCACCTCCCATTCCACCACCTTTGTTTGCAGAGTTCCCAGTAAAAACCATTCACTGCCCGAGTAATGATCTACTTAGCATCATGCCAGCAGCCTGCATCAAGACTTCTTCTCTCTATGTCCAATACAGGAAGTGTGAGTGGGATCCCTCAATCAACATTTTCCTCTGATTTCATTTTGAATCAGCAACTTCAGGGGAGTTGGGAGGGTGGATACTGCATCAACAGAGTGAGAATGGAGTGTGTAGGATGGAGATCTACATTCTCTGAAACAAGAGAGGAAAGGATGTTCCAAAGAATTTTGTTTTGAATTTCTACCTTCCAATGAAACTGACAGCTCTCGTTATCTCTTTTTTTACAGGATATTGAAAGGGGAGGATTTACAAACGGAAGTTTGACCACATGTCACCGATATCTGACAGTCATTCAGTCTTTCATGAGCTGAATATCATTATCTTTTTTAATTTGGACGGAGAAATGTTTGTTGAGTATCTCTGCTTCAGGGTTTAAACAACAACTTGGACTGGAAAAAAAACCACATAAGTACACAGTGAGTGTGTTCCAGTGCGCAGGCTGTGGAAAAACCTATAACTCGTTTCCCAACTGGAAAGTAACGTTGCGCGACACACAGTGGCAAGAGACCGTACATCTATTCTTTCGGTGATCAAACATTGTCAAACTTGGAGAACATCCGCACCATGGAGAAATCTTGGAAATGTGGGGACTGCCAGAAGGGTTTCCGGTCCCCGTCCGAGCTGGAAACCCACCGGCGTGTCCACACCGGGGAGAGGCCGTTCACCTGCTCTGTGTGCGGGAAAGGGTTCACTCAGTTCCCCATCCTGCTGAAACACCAGCGGGTCCACACCGGGGAGAGGCCGTTCACCTGCTTCATCTGCGGGAAGGGCTTCGCTCAGTCGTGCCACCTGCTGAGGCACCAGCGGGTCCACAGCGGGGAGAGGCCGTTCACCTGCCCCCTGTGCGGGAAAGGGTTCAGTCATTCCAACAATCTGCAGAGGCACCAGCACATCCACACCGGCGAGCGGCCCTTCGCCTGCTCTGAGTGTGGCAAGCGGTTCAACAACTCGTCCAACTTGCAGAAGCACCAGCGGGTTCACACCGAGGAGAGGCCGTTCCCCTGTGCCGAGTGCGGCAAGGCGTTCGCTCAGTTATCCGGCCTGCAGACCCACCAGCGGGTTCACACTGGGGAGAGGCCGTTCTCCTGCCCCGACTGCGGCAAGGCGTTCCGGTTCCCTTCCAACCTCCAGAAGCACCGGCGCGTTCACACGGGCGACTGGCTGTTCACTTGCTCCCTGTGCGGAAAGGGGTTCACCCAGTCTTCCAGCCTGCTGAGGCACCAGATCAGCCACACGGCGGAGAGGTCGTGCAAATGCTCTGACTGCGGCGGCGGTGGCGGGGACTTTCAGAGCTCCGGGGAGCTGGCGGCTCACCAGCCGAGCCAGGCCGAGGAGAGGCCTTTCGGCTGCTCTCACTGCGCCAAGAGATTCAGGATATTGTCCAAACTGAGGAGGCACCAGCGGGTCCACACCGGGGAGAGGCCGTTCTCCTGCTCCGAGTGCGGCAGGGGGTTCAAGACCTCGTCCAACCTACTGAACCACCAGGTCACCCACACCAGCGAGAGACCCTTCCGGTGCCCCGAGTGCGGCAGCAGCTTCAAGAGCTCCGGGGACCTGATGGTGCACCAGCGGATCCACACCGAGGAGAGGCCGTTCGGCTGCTCTCACTGCGCCAAGGGCTTTAGAACATCGTCCGACCTGAGGAGGCACCAGCGGGTCCACACCGGGGAGAGGCCGTTCGTCTGCTCCGAGTGCGGGAAGGGCTTCAGCACCTCGTCCAACCTGCTCAACCACCAGGTCACCCACACCAGCGAGAGACCCTTCCGGTGCCCCGACTGCGGCAGCGGCTTTAAGAGCTCCCGCAACCTGATGCTGCACCAGCGCATCCACACCGAGGAGAGGCCGTTCGGCTGCTCGCACTGCTCCAAGCGGTTCCGCAAGTCGTCCGACCTGCTCCGACACCAGCGGGTCCACACCGGGGAGAGGCCGTTCGCCTGTTCCGAGTGCGGGAAGGGATTCAGTCAGTCGTCCAGCCTGCAGACGCACCGGCGGGTTCACAAGAGGTTACTGGGGTTGGATTGTGCTGTTATCGCTGATGTTGATCACCTCCAGGACTGAATCCTGTGGGATCCCTAACAGAGTGGAAACAGGCCCTTTGACCCAACCCTCAGAGCATCCCATCTTCCCACCTCCCCCCGCCCCCCCGCAACGCACCTAATCTACACATCCCTGAACACTAAGGGCAATTTAGCATGGCCAATCCACCCTAACCTGCACATCTTTGGACTATGGGAGGAAACCGGAGCACCCGGAGGAAACCCACGCGCAGACAGGGGGAATGTGCAAAGTCCACACAGACAGTCGTCCGAGGGTGGAATCGAACCCGGGTTCCTTGGCGCTGTGCTAGCCACCGTGCCACACCACTGTGTTCACTCTGGCAGACTGTAACCTTAGCGCTCTCCATAACGTTAGCATCCACGGAGAGAGCAAGCTGCCTGACTCGCTGTGATTTCCAGCATTTTTATTTTGGTTTGTTTTCAGTCTCTCATCTAAGAGTCAGGAGCTGAAGGACTTGAGATTCTTTCCAGAAACTCGGGCCTCCGTAATCCAGGACTGACGTAGCTTGGTGCCAGTACTGAGAGAGCACAACCCTGTCAAGAGGGGCCACATTTCAATTCGAACATTACTGGACTGATACCTGCGATGGGGTGGGCTGAGGGATTAGGTTCCCTTATGAAGGAAGGCTAGGCCTGTATCACTAGAGTGTAAAAGAAATAGGGTCTTTTTGAAACTTATCAGTTCCTGAGGGGACGGATGGTGTCGGTACAGAAGGTGTTTTTTTTTTCTCTTGTCAGAGAAATCTCCATTCCGTCTGTGAAAACGACCCCGAGCTTCCAGTTGCCTGCCACTTCGACAAGCCACTGTGTTTCTTGGCCAGCAATTTTGGTCTCGGGCCTGCTGCAGTGTTCCAGCAAGCCTCAGCACAAGCTCAAAGAATTGCGTCTTATTTCCCACTTCCTGCAGCCTCTGGGACTCAACGTCGAGTTTCAATAACTTTACAGCCCGATTACCTTCTTCCGTGTTTCTTTATTAACCTCCCTTTCCTATGTCTCTCACTGGGCTCCATCTCCATCTATCTGTTCATGCCCCCCTCCCTTCCCAGCTACTAAGAATTAGCTGGTAGCATTTTTGTCTCGTAGATTCCCACAGGCTGTCTCTTACAGTGACCATAAACTCTGGTTTGAGATGTGTATATTTTTATGAATTCATCTTAATAACTAATCAAAGAAAATACAGCCTTTATTCATCAACGGTTATTCAGAAGTGGGCTGAGCGTGAATCATTGATAACTTAGCTGGTTAAATGTGTCAAGTTAAGTGTGTGTCTGTAGCAGCCCGAAATGTCTTCTTTCAGGGAAAATAATGCTCTTTTCTTACATCCGGCTAGCAAAATATGTTTGGAGAAGATCTCTGAAAAATATCAGATTCTCTAAATCTTGAAACCTCTGAAATTTAAAAGCTAAAACTTACTGGCATTATGTTCATGTGTTTATCCCAAGGGCCCTGTCTGCCCCCTCAGGATGCAAACAATTGAAGGGCTACAATTAGAAGGAGAGAGGGGAGGGAGAGGAGTTAGCCCCGGTGTCCTGGGGCCTGATATTTAAAGCCTCAATCAATGTCAGTGAAAACAAGTGGTCTGGTCATCATCAGATCGTCATCTGCATGATCTCACTGCACAAGAATGGACTTCCACTTCTCCTACTGTTTCTACAATTCAAAAAGTGCTGTATGACTCCATGACACTGAGATGCATCGATACAGCCTGAGATGGAGGAAGGTGCTACATAAATGCAAATTTCTTTTGCGATCAATGCATCTTTCAGCCGAAGCGCGTACCAGCTGACTGTGGGACAAGAACTCCCAGTATGAGCCAAGGCCGCTTCCCTGCAGAGGCCACTCAATAAATTGCGGGAACTGACTGTTTACAGAGGGGCCTTGACTTGTTGGCTCGAGCATCCAGCCCTTTCTCCTCCTGGCTAATGCAGGCTGAGAATAGACAGTGGAGCTGGTCAATGGACTGAAAGCTATCTTTTCCACCAATCAAGATGGGAGAGTTAATGTTTTCGCCCAAGTTGTTCTGTATTTTGTCAAACTCTTGTCATTAAGATTGCAACATTGAGTATACTTCAGAAACACAACGTTGCTTCAAAGTTTGACTTTGTCTAAGGTGTTGAAAGGTTCTATTTAAGTATCTTTTTCCCCGTCTTGTCAATCTAAGTTAACAGTCATATAGAGTGTTCCAAATAGACTGTTCCTTTGTGTCCACCCAAACGTGTCACTCTCAAAGACTGTCTGTTTCATTCTTTTTCTCAACGATAGCCTAAACTAGTTCCCCAATGTCACAGAGTCATACAGCATGGAAACAGGCCCTTCGGCCCGACTTGCCCATGCTGATCAGGTTTTCTCAACTGAACTAGTTCCACTTGGCTGTGTTTGGCCCATATCCCTCTAAACCTTTCCTATTCATGTACCTGTCCAAATGTCTTTTAAATGTTGTAATTGTGCCCACCTCTACCACTTCCTCTGGCAATTCGTTCAATTTACATGCCATCCTCTGTGTGGAAAAGTTACCCTTTAAAATCTTTTCACTTTTGCCTTAAGCCTATGCCATCTAGTTTTGGACTCTCCTACCCTGGGGAAAAGACCTTGGCTATTCACCTTATCTATACCCCTCATGATTTTACAAACCTCTATAAGGTCACCCCTCAGCCTCCTATGTTCCAGGGCATAAAGTCCCAGCCTGTCCAACCTCCTCTGAAAACTAAAACCTTCCAGTCTGGCTAACATCCTTGTCAATCTTCTTTGCACCCGTTCCAGTTTAATACCATCCTTTCTATAGCAGGGTGACTAGAATGGGACACAGTACTGCAATACCCTATATGGCTGTAACATGATGTCCCAACTACTGTATTCAGTGGTATGACCAATGAAGGAAAGCATGCCAAGTACCTTCTTCCCCACCCTGTGGCATAACTTTCAAGGAACTATGTGCCTGCACTCTGTGGTCTCTGTTCGATAACAATCCCCAGGCCCTATCATTCCCATCTCTAACCAATAGCTGTTTATATTTTTATTGACCGTTCTCGGTTTTCCTGTACAGTAAAACACTGCCTAACCCCTGCATTCAACCCACACTGCTGCTTATTCCTCCAAAGCTATTTTCTAACATGTTATGAAGGTGAACTAACTGGAGGTACAGAAGCCGTGGGATTTAAAAACTCACCGCGGTATATTCAGTTATAATGAAAGCATCTCGACACCGTTGCCGTTTCCGCCGTTTCCACAGTTTCCAACTCCAAAGTCTGTGAATGGTGAAAGATACACAAAAGCAAAACACAAGATTCATATTTTATGTAACTGACAAATCCTCAGCCACGTGTTTAAAGTCATGAATAAAGTCAGATGGGTAAGAATTTCCATGAAGTTAATGTTAAATTCATTTCCTTAACCACTCGACCATGACTACAGTTCCATTGCTGTTGGTCATGTAAAATCACAGTATCAGAGAACAGGAGACACGAGGGCATTGTGCTTACATGTGCACAGTATGGAAAACAATGTAAATGTGCTTTAGTGTCCATTGAAATTGGCAGGTACAATGTTGTAGGCATTGTAGAGCTGTGGCTGCAAAGAGATCAAAGACGTTAACTGAATATCCAAAGGATGCATGTCCTATCAAAAGGACAGGCAAAAGGAGCGGGGTTGCCTTGTTTGTAAGAAGTGAAATTAAATCGATAGCAAGAAGCATTATAAGGTTGAAAGGCATAGAATCTATATAGGTAGAATTTAAAAGAAAACTGCAAAAGGGAAAAGACCATGCTGGGAGTTATGTACAGGCCCCCTAGCAGTAACAAGGATGTGGGGCAGAAAATAAATCAGGTGTTAGAAAAGGCATATAAGAAAGACAGTATTATATTATTCATGGGGGATTTCAAAATGCAGGTGGACTAGGAAAATCAGGTTGGTAACAGATCCCAAGAAAATAAATTTGTGGAATGTCTACGAGATGTTTTTTTTTGAAAGAACTCATGAGCAAACAGGGAATTCTGGATTTGGAGTGTGAAATGAGGCAGACTTGACTAGGGATCCCTTAGGGGACAGTGACCATAATATGCTCTGCAGTGAGAGAAGGAGAAACTGGAATTTGATGTAATGGTATTACAATTGAGTAAAGGTAACTACAAGGACCATGAGAGGGGAGCTGGCCAGAGTTGGTTGGAAGGGGTGCCTAGCAGAGAAGGTAAAGGAACAGCAATGGCACAAGATTCTGGGGGTATTTCAGGATGCACAGCAGAAATGAAACCCAATGAGGAATAAGCATTCTAAGGGGAGGACAAGGCAGCCATGGCTGATATGGGAAGTCAGGGACAACATAAAAGCAAAAGAAAACACATACAATGTGGCAAAGATTAATGGGAAGCCTTTAAAAGCCAGCAGAGGACAACTTAAAAAAACAGGAACTGAGTTGGAGTGAGTGGGAGGGGAGATCATGAAATAAGAGGGGAAGCTAGCCAGTACTGCAAACTTTGTTTTTACTGTATTATTCACAATCTCTGCAATATCCAAGTAGTCAGTTGAGTGAAAGGCTGTCGGTAACTTTTATTTAAGGCAAAGTTGCATTATTATTTAAGTGATTTATGCTGTAAATAAAATATAACAGTGACATGTATACCCTCTGCAATACATTTCCTTTATTTAGTGCATCTACATTGATTATGTGGACCTCTTGATCTATAGGCACACCTCTGATCCCATATTAAAGAAGATTGTGCGAGGTTTTTTTTTAGGTATATACAAGGTAAGAGAGAAGCAACAGTGAATATTAGATCGCTGGAAAGTGAGGCTAGAGAAGGAGTAATGGGGAGGAAGGAAATAGCAGAGGAACTGAATATAGGTACTTTGCATGGTTTTCTCAGTAGAAGTCACCAGCAACATACCAGAACTTGAGGAGAGTCAGGAACAGAGTGGAGTGTTGAGGCCAGCACTAAGGAGAAGATGCTGGAAAAGCTGAAGCGTCTGAAGGTGGATAAATCACTCAGACGGGATGGACATGACCCCAGGGCCCTGAAGGAGAGAGCTGAAGAGATTATGGAGGAATTACTGGAGTTAGGGAGGATGCCAGAGGACTGGAAAACATCTCATTTGACACCCCTGTTTAAGAAGGGAGGTGGTAGAAGACAAAATTATTGGCCAGTTAGCCTGACCTCAGTCAGTTCCTGACCTCATTAAGTCTTGGTTCAAACATGGACAAAAAAAGCTGAATGTCAGAGGTGAGGTGAGAGTGACAGCACTTGACATCAAGGCCACATTTGACTGAGCATGGCATTTAGAAGCTGTAGTAAAATTGAAATCAATGGGTATCAGCTGGAGGTGATGGCCTAGTGGTATTATTGCTGAACTGTTAAACCAGGTAATGGCCTGGGGACCAAGGTTCAAATCCCACCAGGTGGTACAGCCTAATGATGACCGCGAATTGCTGATTGTCAGAAAAATCAATCTGATTCACTAATGTCCTTTAAGGAAGGAAACAGCCATCCTTACCTGGTCTGGCCTACCTGTGACTCCAGACCCACAGCAATCTGGTTGACTCTTAACTGCCCCCTGGGCAATTGGGGATAGGCAATAAACACTGGCCTAGCTAGTGATGCCCATGACCTCTTAATGAATTACAATAAATGCTCCAACAACACACAAAGATCTTTACATCATACAGGACAAAGCAGCCTGCTTGATTGGCACCACATTCCACTCCCTTCACTGCTGATGCTCCGTATCAGCAGCGTATACTGTCTACAAGAAATTCTCCAAAGATCCTGAGATAGCATCTTCCAAACCATAATCACTTGCATCGAGAAAGAGAAGGGCAGCAGATACGTGGGAACACCGTCACCTGCAGCTTACCCTCCAAGTCAGCCACCATACTGACTTGGAAATATATCGCTGTTCCTTCACTGTCTCTGCATCGAAATTCTGGAATTTCGTCCCTAAGGACATTGTGGGTCAACCTCCAGCATATGTACTGCAGCTGTTCAAGAAGGCAGCACATTACCACCTTCTCAAGGTCCAAAAAATGCTTGCCAGACAGCACTGTCCAAGTCCCACGAGTGAATAAACAAAAATCGCTGGGACAGTTTAAGATTGATTTTTATTGTCACGTGTACCAAAATACAGCAAGAAAATGATGTGTAGATCAAAAAGATTTAGAGGCATACAGGTTACATTGCAGGTTATATTACTTGAGGCTAGAGTCCATTCAACAGTCTGATAACAGCTGGGAAGAAGCTGTTCCTGAACCTGCTCGTGCGTGTGTTCAGGCTTCTGTATCTTCTGCCTGACAGAAGAGGTTGTAGTAGGTCATTACCTGGGTGCAATGGGTCTTTGATGATGTTGGCCGCCTTTCCGCAGCAGCGAGCCATGTAAACAGAGTCTATGGATGGTAGGTTGGCTTTCGTGATGGTCTGGGCTGTGCACACCACCTTGTGTAGTTTCTTACGGTCCTGGGCAGAGCAGTTGCCATACCAGCCTGTTACGCACCCGGACAGTATGCTTTCAATGGTGCATCTGTAGAAGTTGGTGAGGGACCTTTATGGACATGCCAAATTTCCTGAGCTGCCAGAGGAAGAAGAGGCGTTGTTTTGCTTTCCTGACCATCACATCTATGTGGGAAATCCAGGACATTGGTTATCGTCACTCCGAGGAACTTGATGCTCTTCACCTTCTCAACTTCAGTTCCTTTGATGTAGATGGGGGCGTGTTCTCCTCCTTTCTTTCTGAAGTCGACGATCAGTTCTTTGGTTTTACTGATGTTGAGAGAGAGGTTGTTGTCATTGCATCATGTCACCAAGCCCTCTATCTCCCTTCTTTAGTTTGACTCATTGTTGTTAGATATCCGTCCTACTATGGTGGTGTCATCAGCGAACTTGTAGACGGCATTCATTTGGAATTTGGCAACAGTCATAGGTGTACAGGGAGTACAGTAGGGAGCTGAGGACACATCCTTGGGGTCTCCAGTGTTGAGTGTTATTGTCGGGGAGGTGCAGTTACCTATCCTCACTGATTGCGGTTTATGGGTCAGAAAGCTGAGGATGCAGTTGCAGAGGTCACGCATTTTGTGATCAGTCTGGAGGGGATAGTGGTGTTGAAGGCAAACTGTAGCCAATGAGCAGGAATCTGACGTAGGTGTCTTTTTTGTCCAGATGTTCCAGAGATGAGTGCGGGGCTAGAGATAAAGCATCCTCTGTGGATCGGGATCAAGGTAGATTGGGAGACTGGAGTTGATGTAGGCTATGAATAGCCTCTCGAAGCACTTTATGATTATTGAAGTCAGAGCTATTGGGCGGTAGTCATTAAGGCACACTGCGTGTGTTTTCTTGGGTATGGGGATGATGGTGGTCTCCTTGAAGCAGGTGGGGACTTCAGCTTGTGGGAGGGATTGGTTGAAGATGTCGGTGAATACCTCTGCCAGTTGGTCTGCACAGGATCTGAGTGTTCAGCCAGGGACACCATCCGGGTCCATCGCTTTCCTTGGATTGACTCCCAGGAAGAGTCTATTACAAAGGATGAGAGTGTGTAATATTTGGAAGTGCACAATAATATAAGGTTGAGTCAGCACAGTGTCATCAAGGGGAGGTTATGCCTGACAAATCTGTCAGAATTCTTTGAGAAGTTAATGAACAAGTTAAACAGAAAGCCAGGGGACATAATCTATTTGGATTTTCAGAAGCCCCTTGATGAGTTGCTGCACAGGAAGTTGCTAAATGAGATAAGTCCATGGTGTTATAAGGGCAAGGTACTGGCATGGATACAGCATTGGCTGACTGGCAGAATGCAGACAGTGGCAATAAAGAGGTCTTTATTCAGGATGGAAGGCAGTGACTAGTGGAGTTCCACAAGGGTTAGCAGTGGGACCAGAACTATCCAATGTTATACATTAATGATCTGGATGAAGGAACCAAGGGCTTTGTTGCTAAGTTTGCAGATGACCGAAAGATAGGTGGAGAGACAGATGAGTTGATGCAGTTGAGGAAGTGGGTAAGCCACAGAATTATTGACAGCTAGGAGAGTGGGCAAACAAGTGGTAAATGGAATATGGGAAAGTGTGAGGTTATGCACTTTGGTAGGAAAAATAGGAGAGTAGTCTATTTTCTGAATGGGGAAAGGCTTTAGAAATCTGAAGCATAAGGGGCTTTGGAGTCCTTGATCAGGATTCTCTTAAACTTAATAGGCAGCTTCAGTTGGCAGTTAGGAAGGCAAATGCAACGTCACCCTTGACTTTAAAAAGGCCAGAAGACAATACCAGGGATGTGCTGCTGAGGCTGTATAAGGGCCTAGTCAGACCATATTTGACATATTGTGAGCAGTTTTAGGCCCTGTGTAGGGAAGCATGTGCTGGCGTTGTATGGAGGCTCCAGAGGAGGTTTAAGAGCATGATCCCTGGAACCTTTTGGAGAGTAATTCGCCTGGTCCCACTGTTCAGTTGGCACAAGAAAGTATTATCCAAACTGAGCTGGACCCCAATAAGGCCTGACACAAAGTATTTCAACAAGTAGTTAACTTCAAATCTGTAGGGAACTCCACAAATTCACGAAACAACAAAAAAACTACGGATGCTGGAAATCTGAAACAAAAACAGAAATTGCTGGAAAGACTCAGTAGCAGGTCTGGCAACATCTGCGGTGAGAGAAAGCAGAGTCAATTCCGAAGAAGTGTCACTGGGACTCTGCTTTCTGTCCCGACAGATGTGGAGTTGCTAGTTTTGGACTGCGGCGGACACGGTCAGAAATCACATGACACCAGGTTGTAGCCCAACAGGTTTATTTGAAAACACAAGCTTTTGGAGCCTGCATCCTTCCTCAGGTGTTAGCGAAAGAGGTAGTATCAGACACAGAATTTATAAGTAAAAGATCAAGGGATCACACCACTGATGAGGCTGTATTAAACAAACCTGAGATGCTGTTAAATCTTTGGAAAAAAAACCAGGCTGACTCCAAACCAAAACACAAACAGATTCTAAACAGGGCCTCACACGTAACCAGCACTGTCTGGCCTAAAATGTCAACTTTTCTTCTACAGTGGTGAAACCTTTAGCTCTCTCAGGACAGGGACTTGAACGGAATTTGGGGATTTACACATACACATTAATCAAGTAAAACCTTCTAACTGATTGAAGATTTAACAGCATCTCAAACTTCTTTAATACATCCTCATCAGTGGTGTGATTCTTTGATCTTTTACCTACAAATTATGTGTCTGATACTACCTCTCTCACTAACACCTGAAGGAGTGAAGCTCCAAAGGCTTGTGTTTTCAAATGAACCTGTTGGACTGTAACCCGGTGTGCTGTGATTTCTGACGTGTCCCCATACCCCACGGATGCTGCCGGACCTGCTACTGAAGTGCTGCAGCAATTTCTGGTTTTGGCTCACTGTCCCCTGGGACAGTCCTCAGCCCGAATGCAGTAACAAGCCTTTCCCATTCATGTGAGGCTCCTGCTCTACCCGCGCATGCGTCAGCTCACGGCAGGTGAGTGGGGGAATCCATGATTGACGGTGGTTTCAGGCCAATAGAAAGAGAAGGAGCCGCCGGCCCTCCAACCAATCGGAGTTGACGAGCGGCTGGACCTCCCCCACGTGAACTACCAGTGCCGAACAGCCGTGAAGTTGCGCGCAGGCGCAGTCAACGGTTACTGGCCGATGCTTGGGCAGCGGGGGGAGAGTTGCCGGAAGCGGCAGACGGTGAAAGGTGAGGCTATTCTGACGTGCGGTGGAGCTGGCTTGGCTTAGGCAGTTTCTCAAACGCTGGGAAGTGCTTCTGATCTGATTGAGAAGGTCGGGGTTCAGGTTTGCCGCAGCCCAGGAACAGGCTGCGGATCTAAAGTCGGATAGAGGGCCGGGCGACGGCCGCCATCTTAATTGGGGGCAAGGTCTAACAGGGCGCATGCGCGTCATTCTCTCACCAGACCAAAGGGACGATCTGTGGAGAGTAAATTCAGACCAAGATAAATATTGGTTTCTTCTAAATTTCCATCCTGTATTTGCAGTATTTTATAATTTGCTTTTGGCGGGCATTGAATGGAAATGATTTGCAAACAGGAAACAAAATGGTCCTGGGGTAGTAAGAGGAAGATGGTTCACAGTTTGGGATGTGGGAGGAGAGAGGATAACTATAATGGCGCTTTGGGGAAAATCAGTGGAGCTCTGACCAGACTTCACTTTTTTTCCTTAGGTAATCGTTGTGCAAACTGAACTAATTCCACTTGCCTGCATTTGGCCCATATCCCTCTAAACATTTTCTGTCCATGTACCTGTCCAAATGTCTTTTAAATGTTGTAATTGTACCCGCCTCTACAACTTCTTCTGGCAGTTCATTCCACACCCTCTGTGTGGAAACAGTTGCCCCTCAGGTCCCTTTTGCATCTTTTCCTTTCTCACCTTAAATCCCTTGCCCTCCAGTCTTGCACACCCCTACCCTGGGGGAAAACACCTTGGCTATTCACTTTATCTATGCCCCTTGTGATTTTAAAACCATCTACAAAGTCACTCCTCAACCATCCATGCTCCAGGGAAAGAAGCCCCAGACTCTTCTTATAACTCAATCCTGCCATTTCTGGTAACATCCTTTGTAAATCGTTTTTGCACCCATTTCCATTTAATAACATCATTGCTATAACAAAGCAACCAGAATTGTACACAGTGCTCTAAATGTTGCCTCACCAATACCTTGTACAGCTGTAACATGACATACCAGTTACTGTACTCATTGCTTTGAGTGATGAAGACAAGTGTGCCAAATACTGCCTTCACCACCCTGTCTACCTTATGACGCCACTTTTAAGTAAGTATGTACCTGTATCCCTAGGTCTGTCTGCTCGACAAGACTCACCAGGGATCTACCATTAACTGCATAAGCCCTGCCTGGTTTGTCTTACCGAAATGCAACACCTTACATTTATCTGAATTAAACTCCATTTGCCACTCCTTGGCCCACTAGCCAAGTTAATCAAGATTCCATTGTAATCCTAGATAACCTTCTTCACAGTTGGCTATACTGCCAATTTTGGTATCATCGGCAAACTTACTAATCATGTCTCCTATTATCTCACCCAAATCATTTATATAAATGATGAACAACAGTGGATCTAGCACTGATCCTTGTGGCAAGTCATTGGTCACAGGCTTCCAGTCTGAAAAACCAGCCTCTACCATCAAACCAATTTTATATCTAATTGGCTAGCTTTCCCTAATCCCATGTGATCTAACTTTACCAACCAGTTTACCATGTGGTACCTTGCCGAAGGCCTTGCTAAAGTCCTTGTCGACAATATTTGCTGCATTGCCCCCATCTATCTTCCTGGTCACTTCTTCAAAAAATTCAATCAAATTTGTGAGACACTATTTCCCTCGCACAAAGCCAATTTGACTATCCCTAAACAGTCCTTGACAGATTCTCAGTCTGCAAGACAAGAACTGAAGCCATTGCAAAGGTGAGGCAGGGAGGAGAAAAGGGCAGAAGGAATGTGGTGGTAATGGATTTGGATTTTGGTCCAAGAAGGAAGGAGAGTGTGAAGGACCTGGGGTTTAGAACTTTGGGGAAGAAGTGAGGAGATAGACTAAAATGTTGTGTTGACGTTTGTAAACTTATTTTATCCTTTTACAGGTTTTGAGAAGAGCAGGATTGATAGATGCACGGCTGGAACCAAACATCACATCAGGATCTGAATATCATTGGCCTTTGAATATGGAAGGGGAAATGCTTATCGGTTCTGTCTGAAGGGACTGATTTAAAACAACAGTGAGAGTGGCAAAGTACTAACATATACATACACCCCTGAGTGACACCGTTCTAGAATACTGTAGAAAGAGCTTTCAACAGTGTGACTTCCTGAAAACAGCACTGTTGATGGTGGGGAGAGATCGCATATGTGTTCTGTACGAAGAAAACGTCTGCACCATGGCCAAATCGTTGACATGTGGGGACTGTGGCAAAAGATTCGATTACCCATCCCAGCTGGAAATCCATCGGCGCAGTCACACTGGGGAGAAGCCATTTATCTGTTCAGTGTGTGGGAAGGAATTTACTAAGACAACCTGTCTCATGTTACACCAGCGAATTCACACTGAGGAGAGGCCATTCAGCTGCACACACTGTGAAAAGAGGTTCATTTCTTCGTCTGACCTCAATCAACACCAGCGGGTTCACACTGGGGAGAGACCATTCATTTGCTCCCAGTGTGGGAAGGGGTTCACAAAGTCATCCAACCTGGTGACTCACCAACGGATTCACTCCGAGGAGAAGCCATTCGGCTGTGCTCGCTGTGGAAAGAGTTTCAAATATTTACATAGCCTTGAAGAGCACCAGCGAGTTCACACCGGGGAGAGGCCGTTCACATGCTCCATGTGTGGGAAGGGATTTACTCAGCCGTCCAGCCTGGTGAGACACCAGCGAGTTCACACCGGGGAGAGGCCATTCAGCTGCTCTGTGTGTGGGAAAAGCTTCAGGCAGACGTCGGCCCTCATCACCCACCAGCGAGTTCACACGGGGGAGAAACCATTCAGCTGCTCTGTGTGCGGGAAGGCCTTCACTGTATCATCGACCCTCAAGGCACACCAGCAGACTCACTCCGCAGAGAAGCTCTTCAACTGCTCTCACTGTGGTAAGTCTTTCAGGTGTTCGTCCGCCCTGCTTGCACACCAGCGCGTTCACACAGGGGAGAGACCGTTCATCTGCTCTGTGTGTGGCAAGGGATTCACTCGATCCTGCAGCCTGGTCACACACGAGCGACTGCATAAATGACTGGAGGAATTGGACTTTGCTGTTATTTGTGTTGGCAATCACATTCAGGCTTATTTCATAGAAGAATCATAGAATCCCTATAGTGTGGAAACAGGCCCTTCGGCCCAACCAGTCCACACCGAACCTCAAAGCATCCCACCCAGACCCACCCCACTATAACCCACCTAATCTACACATCCCTGAACACTACAGACAATTTAGCGTAGCCAATCCACCTAGCATGCACATCTTTGGACTGTGGGATGAAACCAGAGCACCCAGACGAAACCCATGCAGACACGGGGAGAATGTGCAAACTCCACACAGACAGTCGCCCGAGGGTGAAATCGAACCCGGATCCCTGGCGCTGTGAGGCAGCAGTGTTAACTACTGAGCCACCATGCTGCCCTAAGATTGTCTGACAATCTTTTAGTTTGTATATGCTGTGAGAACAATTAGTACAATCTACTGGAGTTTAATATTCTGGATGTGCCACTGATTTCTAAAGCAGCGCTTTCTCATCTTCAAGAATCTATTTGTGCTCCTTCACATTAATTGAAGAATTCTCAATAGGAACTAATTTATAATAATATTGTGAACTTTTCCTAGATGGATCTTTGGTGCAAAATCTATAATTCAGTGTCTGAAAGGCTCCACTGATTGACATCTCCAATGACAAAGTGCTGATTAATTCTTATTGACTTGTGTACTGTCCACAGTGATACTCCATTATGCAATTAAATTATCAAAAAGAGCCTCACAGTCTCCATTTTGCAGCTTCCTTTCTGTCTGAGTTGAAAAAGGAGCCCTCATCATTTGAGAGAGACAACCTTTTCAATCAAGCAGAAAGGTCCTGGCAAGGATGGAATTCTGAACTGCTCAAGCACAAAATGTTCCGTCTACTGCAATGCCCTCATGACCTCCTCCTCCTCTGTTGCGAGCTAGGATTCGTTTCAGGGGATGTGCAGGCCACAAAAAATAATCATCCCAATATATAAAAAAAACAAAAGTGATTGATCGAGGAGATTGCAACAAACCATTTGTTCTTCAAAACTCCCCTGCTCCTTTCATAACCTTGTGCACTGTATAGTACGGCAGCACCATGTCTGACAGTTTCAGAGTGAAGACAGGAGTGAAACAGAGCTGTGGCTGAGCTCCCCACATTGTTTGGCGTTTTCTTCTCTCTTCTCATGTCCTTGGCATCTCCTGAAGATATGCAAGGAGTTTATCTGAATACCAGCTGAGACAGCAAAGTTGACCATCAGTCCCAGACTGAAAACAAGGTTTTACAGATATAGTATGTCTTTGTTCAGAGGGTTTCCCTACACTGAAGATGCTGCATGTTTGTAGATAGGATTGATTCCGACAAACGGTGCATGCTGAGTTGTCAGAACTGTCGTTAAAGGCCCTCATGCCATTTGGTTGGTGACTGAGTTCTGTCTGATGGGATAGAGAATCAGGGCAGGGTAAAGTGATTGAGCATCAGCGATGGATTTTTGGTTATTTGCTAAAGACATTTCAGGAGCATCCATTGGGTGATTGACAGGAGCGTCTGACCAACTGGGATAGGAGAAAGAGGCCGGAGAACGGAGTGGGAGAGTCTGTATCAGAATCTCAGTATTTGTCAGTAAAATGATTTTATTCAGGACTGACAGCAGGGATCATCTCTGAGAATGACACATTGTAGTTAGAGAGGAAATGTGGTGGATGTTTCTTTGGATGAATTGACAATAGATATTTGATAAGTTGCTGGACAGCAGGCTTTTTGATAAAATGAACATCATGGTATTGAAAGGAGTAGGGCAGCATGGATAGAAAGTTGTGTAAACAATAAAAAATGGAGAGCGGTGGTTAATGAATGTCCTTCAAACTGTAAGGTTATAAACAGTGCTGTCCACAGGGGTCAGTGATAGGATTACCGCTTTTCCCAATATAGAGAAATAATCTAGGCTTGGGTCTGGGGGTGATACAATCCAAATCACCAAGGAACGCCAATTTAGGGCAAGTGAGGATCGCTGACAGAACGCTGTTTTGATGATAAACTAATCAAAGCACTGAATTCCAGAGGTGAGAGGAGAGTGACTGCACTTGGCATCAAGGCTGCATCTGACCAAGTTTGGCACCAAGGAGCCCAAGCAAAACTGGAATCGGTGGGAATTGGGCAAAACTCTCTCTACTGGTCATACCTGGCACGTAGGAAGATGGTTGTTGGAGGTCAGTCATCTCAGCTGTGGGACATCTCTCTGCAGGAGTTCCTCAGGGGAGTGTCCTAAGCCCAACCGTCTTCAGCTGCTTCATCAATGACCTTCTCTCCATCATAAAGTCAGAAGTGGGGATGTTCGCTGATGATTGCACTGTGTTCAGCACCATTCACCTCTCCTCGGATATTGAAGCAGTCCACGTTCAAATGCAATGCGATCTGGAGAATATCAACGCTTGGGCTGACAAGTGGCAAGTAACATTTGTGCCATAGTCAGGCAATGACTATCTGCAATAAGAGACAATTTATCCACTACCCCTTAACATTCAATGGTGTTACCGTCATTGAATCCCCCACTATCAACATCTGGGGGTACCACTGACCAGAAATTCAACTGACTCACCACATAAACAGTGGCTATAAGGGCAGGTCAGAGGCTAGGGATACTGTGGTGAGTAACCTGCATGTTCCCCTCCAAGCCCCTCACTGTCCTGATGTGGCTATATTTTGCAGTGTCTCTGGGTCAAAATACTGGAATTCCCTCCCCAAAGGGTATTGTGGATCAACATACAACGTGGGTTAGCACTGCTGCCTCACAGCACCAGGGACCCGGGTTCGATTCCACCCTCCGGTGACTGTCTGTGTGGAGTTTGCAAGTTCTCCCTGTGTCTGCGTGGGTTTACTCCGGGTGCTCCGGTTTCCTCCCACAGTCGAAAGATGTGCAGGCTAGGTGAATTGGCTGTGCCAAATTGCCTGTAATGTTCAGGGATGTGTAGGTTAGGGGACGGATCTGCGTGGGATGCTCTAAGGTTCAGTGTGGACTTTTTGGGCCAAAGGGCCTGTTTCCACACTGTAGGGATTCTATAAAATCTATGAAATGAAACCTATGTGGATTGTAGTGGTTCAAAAAGGCAGCTCACCACCACCTTCTCAAGAGCAACTGAGGACAAGTAATAAAGTCTGGCCAGCCAGCATTGCCTACATCCTGTGAGTTTAAAGAAAAAAATCATGGACGTTAACATCGAGTGAAGAGGATGTGAGTGAATCGTCATTCAGACACCAAGCAAAACTGACCCGGTAATTGTCCTTGAACTGATCATCAGCTCCTTCAGGATGGCTTTTGTCCACTGCCATACCTCCAAAACGGTGAGAGCTGTCAGTCATTCCAGTGGACTCTGGATGATGGGCATGTGGAAATTTTGTTTCACACCAGAAGATGACAGCACTGTTTGTGTTTCATCTGTCTTAACTTGACCAACATCGGGCCTTGTTTAAAGGGGGTTGGAGTATAACAGAAGGGAAGTTTTACTGCAACTGCACAAGGTACTGGTGAGACCACATCTGGAGTACTGAGAGCACTTTTGATCCCCTTGTTTCGGAAAATATTTTCTTTCATTGGAGGTAATTCAGGGAAGCTTCACTAGGGATGACGCCAGGTATGGAGGAATCGTCTTGTGAGCAAAGGTTAAACAGGTTGGGACTATACTCAGAAGAATGAGATGACCTCGTTGAAGCATGTAGGATTCTTAAGGGGCTTGACAGGGTTAATGCTGAGAGGATGTTTCCCCTCCTGGGGGAGTCAGGACCAGAGGGCATAGACTCAGAATTAAGAGGCATCACTTTAAGACTGAGCTGAAGATATCTCAGAGGGTAGTGTGGGCCTTTGAAACTCCTTACCACGGAGAGCTGTGGGGACAGCGTCCTTGTATTTTTTCGGGCTGAGTTAGATAGATTCTTGATCAGTAGAGGAATCGAGGATTGTGGCGGGGAAAGGGCAGGAAATTGGGCATGAGGAGTGTCAAATCAGCCGTGATCCTACTGAAGGACAGAGTAGGCTCAAGGGGCCAATCGTCCCACCCCTGCTCCTCTTTCTTATGGCCATATGATGTCCTCACAGCAAATGAGGTGCGTCACTTTGTTGAATTTAACTCTCCAGACACCCTTTTTGAGCTGAACTAACCAGTGAACTCTTTCTGATTTAATATGCTGGGCACTGGATCTTTTTCACAGGACTGAGAATGTCTGAGAAGTAACTGGTTGGAAAACCCTTTCCATTCTATTACTGCAGCAGATTTTGGGTTGCTCTGAATCTGGCAGCAGCGTCATTGACCCAACGAGTTCCAGCTTCCAAAGAACTAACCTAGATGTGCTGGACTGATTAGTTTCCATCTGTGCCGTACCGTTTCATTAAAAATGTTCCTTTTTAGTAGAGAAGGAAAACAGCAAAGGTGGAGTTCAACCAGTTGGAATCAATTTCTCTGGGGAGGAAAGTGCGGTGATGCAGTGGGAAAAGTTTTAAAATTTCAGTAATCGCACGGGAGAGCAGCGGTTCAAATCATTTTCAGCAATGGCACAGCAGTCATTCATAAGGGTTTACATTTTTTTAACTTAAATTGGTATAAGTTAACAAAATGACCTTTTTTTTTCTGTTTGAATAATTTGAAGGCAGTGGTAAGTGAACACCACTTGTAGTGGGGACTAGCTTCAGTCTTCCCAATGTTTCAATGAACAAATTCTCTGCTCATCCAGCACTTTGTATGGCTGATGGGAGGCCATGGCCTAGTGGTATTATTGCCAGACTGTTAATCCAGAGACCCCGATAATGTTCTGGGGACCCGGCTTCGAATCCCACCATGGCAGATGATGGAATTTGAATTCAACAAATATCTGGCATTAAGAGTCTAATGATGACCATGAATCCATTGCCGATTGCCAGAAAAACCCATCTGGTTCATTGCCTTTCAGGGAAGGAAACTGCCATCTTTACCTGGTTTGGTGACTCCAAACCCACAACAATGTGGTTGACTGTTA